TGTATGTTGTGATTGAATCAAACACTTTTATTCACATTTGACCCTCAGCTTTGCTTCCAGTTATCGCACCTAACCCAAAAAATCATGCGGAACATACTGCGCTTACATCTTATTAGTCAAAGAGTTACCCCACCTAACCCAGAAAATCATGCAGTACGTCCTGCACCTACATCTTATCAGTCAAAGAGTTATCCCACCTAACCCAGAAAATCATGCAGTACGTCCTGCGCTTACATCTTATTAGTCAAAGAGTTACCCCACCTAACCCAGAAAATCATGCAGAACGTAAAGTGCCTACATCTTATTAGTCAAAGAGTTACCCCACCTAACCCAGAAAATCATGCAGTACGTCCTGCACCTACATCTTATCAGTCAAAGAGTTATCCCACCTAACCCAGAAAATCATGCAGTACGTCCTGCGCCTACATCTTATTAGTCAAAGAGTTACCCCACCTAACCCAGAAAATTATGCAGTACGTCCTGCGCCTACATCTTATTAGTCAAAGAGTTACCCCACCTAACCCAGAAAATCATGCAGTACGTACGTGCCTACATCTTATTCGTCAAAAAGTTACCCCACCTAACCCAGAAAATCATGCAGTACGTCCTGCGCCTACATCTTATTAGTCAAAGAGTTATCCCACCTAACCCAGAAAATCATGCAGAACGTAAAGTGCCTACATCTTATTAGTCAAAGAGTTACCCCACCTAACCCAGAAAATTATGCACAACATACTGTGCCTACATCTTATTAGTCAAAGAGTTATCCCACCTAACCCAGAAAATCATGCAGAACGTAAAGTGCCTACATCTTATTAGTCAAAGAGTTACCCCACCTAACCCAGAAAATCATGCAGGACGTAAAGTGCCTACATCTTATTAGTCAAAGAGTTACCCCACCTAACCCAGAAAATCATGCAGTACGTTCTGCACCTACATCTTATTAGTCAAAGAGTTACCCCACCTAACCCAGAAAATCATGCAGTACGTAAAGTGCCTACATCTTATTAGTCAAAGAGTTACCCCACCTAACTCAGAAAATCATGCGGAACATACTGCGCCTACATCTTATTAGTCAAAGAGTTACCCCACCTAACCCAGAAAATCATGCGGAACATACTGCGCCTACATCTTATTAGTCAAAGAGTTACCCCACCTGACCCAGAAAATCATGCAGAACGTACTGCGCCTACATCTTATTAGTCAAAGAGTTTTAAAAAATGCAAAAACCTGTTGTGCCTGCCCAGGCACTGATTTCTATGTATCATCTTGTTTTTTTTCACTATTTGATATTCTAAAGCCGTTCAAATTGCAAAACATTGGCCAGCTCTTGCATGTCTGTGCCCTCAACTGACTGCATTCCAAATGCTGTTTCCCTTTATCCTCTCATATGGTGATTAATCCTACACGTACATTGCACATGTGTGTATTGCACTGATAGAGTGTTGTAACAACTTGTACAAGTTTGACTGTAATAGTGTCTTGACGCTCACCAAAGATAAAATTTGATTATCATCTGTCGCTTAAACTGAAGTTGAAAATGCATGCACATGCGGGACATTTTCGGCCTAAATTGGGAGGTTTTATGTCTTTGTGTTTTCAGGCGGTGAACTGAACCCGGGCCGCACCACCACCAGCACGGTGGAGCGCTACACCCCGGCCCTCAACTGCTGGACCTCGGTCAACCCCATGGGCTCGCCACGGCGGGGCGTGGGCACGGTCATGCTGGACAAGATCCTGTATGCGGTGGGCGGCTCGGACAACGCGGCGCTGAACGTGGTGGAGTGCTTTGACCCTGCCACGGGGGGCTGGCGTTACCTGGCGCCCCTCCAGGAGCCCCGCAGCAGCGTGGCTGTGGCGGCAGCCGGGGGCTACGTGTACGCATTTGGCGGCTACAATGGGATGACCAGTTCCCGGACAGTGGAGCGATTTAATCCCAATACAAATGAGTGGAAACACACGACAGGTACCGTACATGCATCATCTTAATGAAGATTCCTTCAATAAAAGAAACTTACAGTCTACATGTACGTTTGTTTATACTTCGCATGTTAACCCTAACCTTCCCTGACCACACAAAATTAAACAGTAGTTAAGTGTTGAATTCTGTGGGGATAGGTCTGGTGGGCCCAGACAGCTGGCTTTTGCATTGGGTTTGGCATACCTCAGAAAAATCAAAGTCCAACAGCCTCTGTGCACAAAGTCCCATATGGGTGTTCAACTTTGTGTGAATGGGGAAGGTTAGGGCCAGCAACCCTCGGGGGTTAGGGTTAAGGTATCAGCACTGAAAAGGCTTGGCTAAACTCAAACTCTATCCCACTTCGAAAGCTGCCTTATATGTCAAGTTCCTTTGTCATCTTGTGTAAAAGAAAATCTTTAACCTTCCCAGACCCTTCAGAATCCACCAGGCAACTCTGGAGGATTTGGAAGGATTGAGTAAGGTACATGTAGATTGGTGGCAAGTGGTTGAGTTGAGTGGTTGGTCATCGTTACAAATTTGCTACCAAAGAACAAAAAAAAGTGGTTATGCTTCATGTTTCCCTACCTAACCTATTTTGACAAGGCAACCTTATAGTTTTTCAGCGGGAAGGGAATTTTCAGGAAAACATGAAATTAGAAATACAGAAAGAAACAATGTGTCTTGTTTTCAGCTTCAATGTGGTGCAAAAAAGGCTGAGCAGACTTTTGCGCAAAACAAGTGCCCTTCGGAGTGTGGCTCATTTCATTTGAAACAAATGCCATTTGACCTCTCTTCCTGTTATTTTGAAGTGTAGTGTAGTACTATTGTAGTACTTAGCAGTAGCAATACATTGCAATAACAAAAATCCCCATCACATGCACTCCCCAATTTTCAGTTGCAGTCCAATAGGAAGTAGAGCTTGGTTATGGTTGTTGCTTTGTATGGCTGTTCCTATTTGTTAACTTTGCCACTTTTTCTCAGTTCGTATCTTTAATCTAACGATTTAAAATTAGCTGGAGGTACTCATGTTGTGTGCGTTCAGTACATGTAAGTTTACATTTTGAGGAAAAAATGTGTATATAAACTTAGGATGGGAATTTACGTTTAATTTGAAAAACATTTGGAAAACTTTCCGATACTGTTTAAACGTAAAATGTTCAACCCAAGGTAACACTTTACCTCATTTTTCCCCATAATATATAAAAAATATAGTTCAACAATGTATGGTCCAACTAATGTATACATGTAGATTGATGTTGGGGCATAGCAAACAGGCAATATTTATTGTTTTAGAATCCACTTTTTTTCTCAAAAAGTACATGGACGCCAAAAGGAAAAAACCGAGCATGTAACAGGCATCGTTCACGACAAAAATGAATGCTAGATCGCATCAATCAAAACATCAAACCTCCAAAAATCTTTTTGGAAAATCTGTAAACGGATTTGGAACATTTACATGTAAATGTGCAAATGTCACACCCTTAATATAAACATTCAGTGATGGGAATAGCTGGATTCGCATCGCAAAATGCGTTGCATTTTGCACAAAAAGCGAGACAAACGTGGAAGTTATTTAGTGCAATTTTTGCGAACGAAAATTTCTTTTAAAAATCATGCATAATAACGGTCATACAACCTCCCCCCCCCAAAAAAAAACCCCTTTTCCTTGTCCTACATGTAGTTTCGTGCAGCTCAAGGCCCACGGATCATGAGGAAAACAAGGTTTGCTGCGATTTTGTGGGATTATCTAGCACATGTGGTTCAGTACAGTACAGTACGAGCGTACATGTATGCATTCAGTGCGTGATAAGTGGCGCCATGAACTACACGTAGGTACATACACCCCAAGCGTGATATCTTCACACATACATGTACATATAAGCACATTTACTTCTGTCATTTTGAGGCAATCAATGCACCACAAAAATGCCGAAAGCGCCTTCTAAATATACCGTTGAAAAATGGCAGAGAGATATGCCATGGCTGAAACAAGAGAATCTGCCGGATGGCATTGTCCTTTACTGTGAGTAATGTAAATTGCAAGAGGCCAAGATCAAAGCTGTTAGGTCCATTTACATGTAGGTTTTGCTAGTCAATTTCATCATACATGTAATGCTAATCAAATGACAATATGATTCGCAGATTTGCCAACCAAATTTATTTTCATATTTCCATCACTGACATTGCACCCGTAGGTTTTTTTTGTCTGTAGGTGGATGAATGATTGTATTCTTGAATTTCTATGGTAGATTTCCACTCGTTTTCCACTGGATAAAGGAGCGACTTTCAATTGAGTGAATTGCCTTTGAATTACAAGGTCGTAAGCTGGCCATTCAGTATAGGTCAGTCCCCTGGCTGAAACAGCCTGCCAGTGGAGCTTAAAGTTTACTGCACATGTACTTCTCATTCAATAGCAGAAACCTTGAAAACAGTGTGGGAAAGTGATCAATGGGCAGTTGAAAGTTGTTAGTCTACTAAACCTACAAAGGCAAATCCAGAACCGACCTTTTTTTTGGGGGGGGGGGACTTTTTTATTTGGAAGGGCAAATAATCTGTAGTTTTAATATTCATCCAGCCTCTGGGCCTTTTTCCAAAACTCAACTTCGTCTCTGTCTGGGGCTCCATCTTTTGTGTTTTGCCTCCTGGTTTTGAAGTTGTATTAGCTCAGCAGTAAGTCTAACAGTGACACGGAAACGTCCACTAAGACGCAAAAGAGGCAAATGTTTCAGTTTGAATTTAATTTTAACGTTTCAGGCCCATAATCGAGAATCAATTTTGGAGAGGAAGTCCTGAGCGGGTGATGGAAGTTCAGTATCCCACAATGGTTCTGATGTCTTTTCTGAGGGGTGATGCTATATTTTGGGGCTTTGTTCATGCTTTTGAAGGAAAGGGAAATGAACTAGACCCTGAAATATTTCCTTTCTTTCATTTTTTCAAAACCATTTTCCCCCCCCCTTTTTTGATTTTGAATGTGTGTCCCCTGTTGGCCTCCTCTCCTCAATATCCACCCTTGCCTTGCCAAGCTTCCACCACGGTAAGGAGGTGGGAAAGAATTCCCTGTCAACATTTCAGTCTGATAGAGAGTAAAGCCCGGTTTCCATGTTGGCATGAGAAACGCAGAGAGCGACACAATCAGGACGCAAACTGCAACGCAGACAAATGGAAACAATGTCAAACGGAAGTGTCGCCACAAACGCAAACCAGCCCCAGACGGATCGGCAAAATTGAGTTCGGTTCAACTGTGCCGACTGTCTTCATCAAGTACATGTAAATGAGTAGGCTTACAGGTATACAAACATTCATGCTGGCATGAGGGGCATACAACAATGTTTCTCTCACCTGGCACCACTCATTTATCCATTTTTTTCCTTATTACTAGCATATGTAGCCCCAATTGTCAACAAAATCGCTGACCCTTAGCAAACTACCGGTACATCAAACTGCAGTATCAATTTGGCTTCACGAGACAACACTGTCTCCTAAAAACGGCATTTTTTTGGTGACAAAAAGTCTTGCATGCCCTTTTGTTAAATTTTTTGGGTGAAATGACGTCGCACAGCATCTTTGCCGCGACTGTCTGCGTCTTGACGTCATGCAGACCGTCTGCATTACAACGACCATATGGAAACCAGGCTTAACTCCAAGTGAATCTCATAGAAGATTATTGACAGCATTTTTGTTTCACTCACTATTTTTAGAAATGACATCGCCGCGTAGCATGGCTGCTGCCGTTACCCATGGGACCAGCATCTATGTGATCGGAGGTTACGACGGCTCAGCCGATTTGAGCAGTGTGGAGTGCTTCTCACCAGGGGTAAAGTCTCCCCATCAACTTTCTTGCTTTTCACATGTTGAAGCTGACTGATGCGGGTGAAAATTTTCCCGTTGACACCCAGAAGAATGTTTTCAGCTAGTTGAAAAGTTGAAGTTTCTGAAACTCATCTAACCTGCATCTAAAATTGTCCTCCCCATAAAAAATGGTAATTTTGCTTCATCATTGGTGATAATTTCACCAACTGTCTGGCAAACTAGACTGTAAGTCACTTAGTGTATTAGAGGATTCTCATTTTAAGAAGACTGCAATTTCTCACCGTGTCGTCTCACGTCGTGATGACAAGTAGTAATACCCTGTGCTGTGATGATTGAAACAGGTCAAGAAGTGGCGGACAGTTTCCCCCATGCACACAGCTCGATCCATGGTGGCTGCGACAGCTTTCAAAGAGAGGATTTACGTGGTTGGTGGATGCCATTGCAGCATCAGGTACATTGGATTGTTCTCGTCAGAGAGTGAACTCAATTTAACCCCAAAAAGAGCGAGGGAGGTAATCAGTCCCCCTCCCCCCTCGCACGGAAATTTTTCTCCGATGTTGTTTAACTTTCTTGGGGGCACTGAACCTCCAGGGGTTTTTCCAAGAACGTCTTTAACATCATTTTGAAGCCAATATTATGAACATCAGACCCACATTCATACCTTGCTTGAGAAAATGCCGGACTTGGGCGGCAAGCCTGGACCATAAATAACCATAGCAGCTACGCCTCACATGTATGTCGGACTACATTTCCACTTCACGCATACACTCACAATAGATGTTACATGCATGCCAAGGTTCAACAAGATTAGGCATTAGGGCAACCAAGATCTTGGGAGCAGACACCCCCCTCCCCAACTATAAAAATGTCCCGAGCACAACCAGACTCTTGTTGGGTTACATGTTGATTCTGCACACTCTTACAATGTACAAATGTATGTCTTTACCTGCATGCTAAGTTTAAAAAAAGACCAGCCACGGGACAGCCAGGATCTTGGGGGGGGGGAAGTCTGTGAGTTGGTAAAAAAGGAGCCTTGTTTTAGCATTAAAATGATGATTTTAGATGCTGTGATGAAAGTTATGCACCTGTTAGGATGATATCTGTCAGACTTTATCTGGTAAGCTTGCACTTGGGTCTTCCTTCCCTCGCCCAGTTTGGCCAGCGTAGAGGTCTACAATCCGGCCAACGACACCTGGACTCAGGCCCAGGCCATGCACCACCCCCGCAGCGGCGTGGGCCTGGCCGCCATCAACCAGCGGCTCTACGCCCTGGGAGGCTACGACGGCAACGAGTACCTGCGCTCCGTGGAGATGTACGAGAAGGAGGAGGATGAGTGGACCGTTGTCAGCAACATGGAGACCCCCCGACGCCGGTTTGGGTGCTGCTCGTAACGCTAGGTAGGGGAGTCTGGATCAGGAGCCCAATAGTTGATCAGCGCTATCCAGGAGCTTCTAAATATTTCTTATCTTGTCCCAAGGGGGAAATCCAGAACCATAATATTTGGGCGGCCCAAACTCGTTTTATGGGGGCCATTCGTGTAATCTTTAGACTACATTTGAGGGCTTGTAGCATGCTTTTGGAAAGGCTAGTAATGAAGTAGGCCTAAAAAATTGTTATTCTCCCATTATTTGTCAAGAAATTCTTTTTGGGGGGGCGTAACCCTTGCCCCCCCATCCAATCATGTCTAGTCCCTTGACCCATTTCCTTTAAATTGACGGAAGGTCAACTCTAGAGTGGTAAATGACACGGAGACACTGATGATATCGGGTTCACGATTTGACTTTTTCTCGAGAAATGTGTTTGTGCAATTCTCTGGGAACATTTCTCGTCGACTGTCTAAATGTATTCAAAAAGGGCTTTTGGATCCTTTCAAAGAAAAATCACAAACGTTTTTGCCAATATGGCAGTTTTTTGTCATTTCCGAACATTCTTTCAAACATACAGCTATTACGGGATTTCGAAATCTGGACCATTTACTTCTTAAATACCCAGGGATTGAAGGGACCATACAAACCCACAAAGGCCAAAAATCAGATCTTTTTTGGGGGGGGGTAGTGTAAGTACATGTCATCTTTATTCTGTAGAGGCTTTCCTTCGTGTCACCTCGGGCGAGGTTCAGTTTGCTCCAGTGTTTTCATTTTCCCGTGACTATTCTTTCCGTGAACGATTTCCCAGCCATTGGTCAGCTCTAGGGCATATTGTCTCTGTTAGATTTACCACCACTGGGAGCTTCAAAATGTGCCCAATCACCCCAAACTCAGTTGAAGTGGCTCCGTTTGCAACCATTTGGCGTCTGTGTGAAATGTTGGACCCTGTTAGCCCTGATGTCATATTCAATTAGCTGCCTAGTGTAACTAAACAGCAAGAAGCCTGAATCTGCTTTCCCTGGAGAAGGTACTCAGTTCGGTAATTACATATTTCAGAGCACTGATTATATTATTTTATTCTTGTCAATATATAGCAAAAAGCCTTGTGCCCAACTATGCCATGTTGGAAGGCTGCAAACCTTCATTAAACAAGTTCATGCGAAATGTACTAAATGTAAGATTATTGGAAATCATGCACCGATTTTTGTACAATTCACTGCTGCATTAACAGACCAAAAAAAAAAAGATCTTTCTGTCTAATTGAAAGGTTTAATGAAGCTCTAATTCTGTGTAATGGATTTTATTATTGAAATATTTTCAGGATATTTTCTGGTACTTCTTTGTATTAATTGTACAGGTATGTTACGTTTTCACATTCTGAACTGTGATGTCAGCTTCTGCACTATAGCATTCAGTACTTTAATTTATTCACACGAATGCACAGAGCTGCTGCTTGTTGAAATCAAGAGATTGCATATTTAAATTCAGGTCTTGATCGGGATTCTTCAGGCAATTTGTCAAATCTGCAAGCTCCTTTATGTACTATTTCTAATTTTTTGTAAGTTCTTTCGATTTTATCACTTTGATGTTCAGTGCAAGCTTATGTGAATTTTGTTCATATTTGATATTGTGTACCAAGAATATCTCTACTCAAGTACTGATGAATCATGCAACCTTCGGATAAACGTTTATTATTTTGATATAAATGTGAATTGTGTTCAGAGAGCTTCTTAAGATGTAGAGAAATTTTCAACTACATCAGATGATAATATGTGGTCTATTTTTTTCCCATTACCCGGCTGCAAAGCTTCTCTGCCTGGACATGTATGTGTATACAGTTATCTCTGTCGCAAGATTTGGGAAACTTTATTCTTGTAAAAAACAACCGTTGCATTATTGCAGCAAAGCACTTAAATGGCAAAGATATACGTTCACGTTTTACTGAAGCCTTTGGGTTCTACATGTGTCAAGAATTGTACACAAACAATTAGTGAAATAGTACATGTACACAGGAAGTTGATGTCGCGTTGTACACTAAAGCTAGCTCTTCGCTCGTCGCCTGCCGAAGAGCTGATGGCTTTGCACTGCGGATTGGCTACATTGTGAACGACCTGTGACCATGAGGTTATCACTTCCTATTAGCAATGCGTTATTTCAATTTTTTGGTTCATCAGTGGCAATGCTGTGACGCAGCCAATGTCGGCTTATATGATAAAAAAACATGGCCTTGGTACAATCACAGTGTGATAATTTATTTTCTCACTATTACTTAAAGTATAACTGATCACGCGTCTTTTGGCGATATATTTCAAATCATTGGTTATCTTGGTCAATTTTGGATGAACGAATAAAGTGTAGTGAGGATGTTTTCAGCAATGAGGAAGAAAAAGAAAAAATACGGAATTGATAGCCGCCGCTTGTGAATTAAATGCGTTGAGGAAACTCACGCTTCTGGCAAAAATTCACCCACAATGCTGTGCAAGGCCATGCTGTGCAAGGCCATCAGTCCTTCCCAGCGCCCTGTTCGGGCGATGGGCAACGAGCGAAGAGCTAGTTAAGTTTGCAGTAGAGGTTCTGCGTTGATGCATCTTCTTGAGGGCGAAAGTTCTGTATCACTGGCCTGGGCACAGACTTGGTAAACCTTTTGTGCAAAGCAGCCCCTGACACCATGGAGACGCCGCCAACGCCTAGAAACCTCTACTCGCGTTCATGAATACACCCTCCAAAGTGTGGAATTATGTTGCTTTGTACTTCATGTATATGTCTTAAAGTGATGGATTTTTATGTATGTAAGAGCAACAGTATCACGTTTTGGTTCCGGATTGCTGCAGTGACTTTGATGTTGCTCTTAAGTTTTGCTAGTTCACATCGCAGGTTTTGTCGGAAATTGGCACCACCAGACAATTTATTTTTTTACCAAATGTAAGATTAAACTGTACATATTTGCCATTCGCAGTGGGTGTTTTGTAAGATGTCTAATTAATCAAATGAGTATAGTTGATGACTTTTTTTCGATGGTGTTTGACTTGTATTACCCCGTCGAACGAAATTTTATACATGAAACTGTGCATTGCAAAGGTTTATGTAAACAGTAGTGTGGAGACATGCTCTTCATATGGTTACATTTTAGTACTGACAGCTGTCACTTAATTCCTTAACATTTTTTGCCTGCTGTCAAATTTTGGCATGCCTTTTCCCTTGTTCCTCACAGTCATTAATGTACAGACTACTTTTTCCAGTAATACAATTAACTCTAGGTATAACAAAGTAACGGGAACCAGGCAATTTTTTTTACACCTAGGACTTTGTTATGAAAACCGAGGAAAAACCAAAAAATCAAACAATTTCAAGGAGTTGGGGCTCCCAAATAATTATTCCTTTTATAAATAACAGTATTTGTTATAATCGTGCTTCAAGTTGTATCACGGTACATGTAGTCGACTTTGTTTATCAGCTTTGGTTTGCACGGTACAATGTCGGAAAGACATCGTGAGTGGTCAATCCGGTTCGTAAGTGTGACGTCACTTTAGTTTAAACCACGCCCACTGCACACATGCACCGCACATAGTGTACATGCATTGATCGCCTTTTACATGGAACCGGAAGTTGACGCGCAACAGCGGTTGTCCAATGAGAGCCTGCAAATCGTGGCGCGTCCGCCTTTGTGACGAAGTCACTTACGAACCGGAAAAAAAAACCAATCAGTGGCACACAACTAGAGAGAGACAGTATGATACAGTACAGGCATTCTTGCGTGTCGTTAAGTCCAGTTGTATGGACCAAACCACGTGTGTATGTACATAAACAGTTATATGTGCATGCTCTGTTCAAATGTGCACAGTCTTGAAATTTACTTTTCAAACTGTCTAAACTTTACGCATCTGCATTTGATTTAACAGTATGTACAAGCAAAAGTACTTTGAATCTAGCCATGAGTTGTCTGTGCTCGATACTTTATATTGTGTTAGAAGGTATGTATTTCTGGTCCGTTTCCATGAAATGCTGTTCGAACATTTTCAGAAACTTGACAGTAATTTTGCGGCCATGGGACCACTGCCTGCTTGCTTTTCCATTCTCGGCACTATTTGTTCGGATTTTTAAAATATATTTTGCAGAGTAATGTCATTCCCTTTTCTCTAGCAATAAATACAGATATTTCGAATCTACTTGCAAGTTATTCAGGTCGTATAGGTACAGCAGATGCGTATTCTTATTAAATGAAGTTTCAAATAACAGGAAGCTCGAAAGGAATCGGGGTGTTTTTTTGCGTTGCGAATTTTCCAAAGGAAATCCGTCTTAGGTTTATTACGTGCTGGCGTCGTACGCTGCATTAAAGTGTCGCTAAGGGGAGGAAAAACCAAGGGGGAACACGGTTTTCGTTAGTGGTTGTATTTTATTTATCAATTTTTATTTCATTTAAGCCATTAGTTCTCAGGAAGAGGAAAGACACAGTAAACCATACATTTAACATGAAAAGTGCACATAAAATGGATGAGCTACATGAAGAGGCTAAGAAAATTATTGGACATAAGACTAAAGACATTAGAAAATTGACCCCTGCAGGATGGCTAAGGAGCCGTAACTATCGAGTAACTCTCATGGCACAACTTACGTTCAGCAAAAAGGAGATCCCCCCCCAAGAAAAGAGTTAAACACAGAAATTGCTGGAAACGGAATCGAATTGCAACTTACCAAACTGAGAATTGAGGCACATAACTTACGCTCCACATCTTTCAAAACAAGATGTAGTGAACTTGGCAAACATACACAATGGCCCGCAGAGGAAAAGGTCAGAATCGTGCTTGGCGTGGCGCACTTAAAGAAATGCCGGTATGCCACTTTGGAGAAACTGAATCGACTCTATTCAGCAGCACGCACGGTTGAATGATCTTTCTCGGTGACTTGAAAACTTGAGAGCGCTGTGTAATGCCCAATAGAAGCTCCATGCGTTTTGCATCTCAGCCCCGCCTGATAACAGCATTTAGTCCGAATTTTCTGTAGTCTGAGTTTTGCTGTGTTTTAGCAGGAATTGAGCGACAGCAAATTGGACTTGTGATGTCTTTTTCATCAGACCGTGGGCTTCTGTTACTGTCAAAAGTCAAAATCATAACTGCGTATATTAAATTTTAAACGATGAGCCGGAAAGCAAGTATACATTGCGTTAAAAATGAAGACCTTTATCAAAATGTCGTCAACCGTGGAGATTTTTTGACTAGTAGAAGTATCAGGTGGTCGATTCTCCCGCCATGACGTGATTTGAGTTAATCTTCCTACACCAAATGGGAAATTGAACGGCTACCGTCTGCACGTAATCGGCTTCGGAGGAAACTGAACGAACAGAGAAGTTGGTAGTACGGGCCACGCCTAAGTATAGGTACCGTCATGGCTTACCGCGATCGGTACGACGGTCGGGCGGGGCCAGGGAGTGAGAGACACGGGCAAGCCTGGGACATCGACGGTGGTCGTTACGGTGGCGGGGATCCTCGCCGGCACTGGCTGTACACCGACGGCGCCATTCCAGTTGGTAAGCTGGACGATTTGCTGGGCAGAATTCAGATACACTGTATGTAGGAAATTAGACGGGAATCTGAGAGAATGATCCAAGTTGACAGGCTTGGGCAGGCGGGATCAGCCGCGAATTCAGAAGAGGGTGGGGGTCAAATCCCCCCTTGCCTTGTTTTGTGTGCACTATTGAGGACAAAACGAAGTCTTGATCTCCCTTGTGCGAAGAAAAATTCCCGATACACCCCCCTAAAAAACTGACTCTGCCCCTGGAGTGTGGGCGCGACCCCTGATGAGTCACACCAGGATGTTTCTTCTCCAGCACCTTGCTGGAATATCTTTAACTCAAATCTCACAGTAATTGAAATTTCATCAAGTTCCCAACATTCCCAGTCATAAATTTTGAGTTTCCGTGCCCCTCATTCCAATGACATTATATTTTGGCCTCAAATTTTTTTTACTGTGCCTAGTGGCCTCTTTTGCAATGCTCCCAAAAGTAAGAAAATATTTTCTTACAATAATAATTTATCAGAATTTATCAACTTCATCAATTTATCAACAAAGACATTATTATATGTCAATGTGGGATTTGATTTTCTGAGATGCGTTCAAGTGCGCCACGTATAGGAAACAGCTGAATGGCAAGTTTTTCGGAGGCCACCGTTTTTGAATTACAGACTTAATTTCGTGGCACTGGTTCATACCAGCAGCATGTAATTTTGAAGCCTTTGAAGGTAATGCGTGCAGTACCTATACCAGGGACGAAATGGACAGAGGTGTACCCCTAATAAACAAGTCCAATCCCTATACACACTCCAGCCTTATGTCACTGATCACATCCCCCTAGATGTCTGAAAAGAATTCCTGAGATACCAGTATAACAATGACCAACACAAAGGCGGGGGGGTCCTCTCTGTCCCATAGTTTGCTTCATGTGTCAGTTCCAGTGTTAACTTAATAAATGTGAAGTGTGGTGAAGGTTTGGCAATGATGCATGAAGAGAGCCGACGGCAGGGGCGAATCCAAACATTTGTGCTGGGGGTGGACATTTTTGTTTGCACGGGGGCACTATAATTGTCGCTATATGCTGTCTCTGTTTTATCCTTAACCGTGCAGGCAAACTAAGACCCCTAAATGGTTTATACGTTTTTAAGGGGTCTTAATCCCCCAGCCTATTAACGACATGTCGGCACTTCTGACCATAAAGTTCTATGGCCTGACCATGACGAGTCACTGGCTTCATGCGCTTGCTCATATTGTGCTGTTGAGCGGCTCACAGCATGTGTCCAAGTGTATCTATTCTTTAGCGTATCTAATTACACAAATTTAACAGTTATGCAGATAATGGTGACTGGAACCAATATTATGTTAGACGCTGGCTTTCTATTGGATACGCTCCAACCTTACAGTGATTCAGATCAACTTTTAGAAATCCTCCATAAGAAGATATTACTCAAATAGGTCATACGTTATATTGCAGTACCTGGTACATTGGTAGACGAAACCTTGGGTAAAATTCTGGGTTTTCGAACATTCGGGCCTGGTCACGTTATCTTCCTTCATGGGTTTACGGGGTATGCAACAAATAATGCATAACTGAAAACACCTAAAATGGATGAACCCCTGACGCATGTGTCGACACTTAACGAAATCATAAGAACATGTCTGGGGTGCTTTGTCAAAACACAAAGTTTAATAAGGAATGATGACGTCTTGCAAAAAGCTCCCTTCAAGGGAAATTTTTATATTTTTAACATTAAAAAGTACGGCGATAGGCCTACATTTACTGATGTTCAGCATCATAAAGGTGCCTTTCCATAAACGTTTTGTGGGTGCGTTGCGTACACGATGCGTTCATACACCGACTCAAATATCGACGCCATTAACGTAACACACGTGTGGGTTGTGTTAATTCGGTCGTCAAAATAGTCCCGGGGGCGATTTTGACGGAAACACAACGCTTGGCGCATGCTGATTGGGAGCGTTCGTTTTGTTGGGTAGAGTGACACCCACGCATGAATGCGTCTCATATTCGGTCGTGAAATAGGAAATTGAAGTTTTCATCAAAGGAGCCGCCATTACTTTCCGTAAAATCGCACTCTCCCTTGGTCTAGCTAGGGGCCAAGTGCGACAGTTATGCCCAAGTGCAAATTGATGCCTGATATTTACAGTTTTACGGCGGATCGATCGTTACCATAGCTTTGCTCGTCGCCCAGCGCCTGCTAGGGAAGGGCTGATGACCTGGCACAGATTTTATTGAAGGAATCCCGTCACACGGGCTCGCAGCTGACGACGCGCACAGCATTGTGGGTAAATTTCTACCAGGCGCGCTAGCTCGCTCAATGCGTTACCCAAACAACTGTTATCAATTCGATGTTTTTTCTTTGTCTTCCTCATTGCTGAAAATATTCTCACTACACTTTATTCGTTCATATAGCACCTTATCCGTGCCACGCCAAAGCATTGCCAATGGTGAACCAAACAATTTAACTATCGCTTCGTTAACAGGAAGTGATAACCTCACCGTCACAGGTCGTGCACAATGTAGCCAATCTAGCATTGAAATGACGTCATCATGCGATTTGCTGTTATTTCTTGAATATTTTCTTTATGATACTATGCCACTGCAACTACATGTACTTGACCGACGCCAGTTCACAGTTGGAAAACTTACATCTCGTAAAATGGAAGATGAAACAAAAATACTGCATAAAAATGAGCCCGTGAAAAAACTTACTTCACCTTCTGAAAATACGCAGTTGATGGCGCTTCAGGGCTTTGTACAAACTGTGCCTACTACATAATTTCCGAGGCAGTCACTAGACAACGCTGAACGGCTTTGAAGCCACGCTTTGAGAAACGCCAGGAAATGCAGCGCCCCCTACTGTCAGCCGTTTGCCAGCGCATTCGCGCCAGTTACAAGCACCCGGTACCCGCCACATAAACGCATGGGGGCCTCATCTTTCAAGCAAAAATCAGACAGCGCCGCGTACGCGTAGAGAGCCGGAGGGGGTGGTAATTTCTACTTCCATGGCTGAACGATCTTTGGTGTCAAGTCCTGTTTTTAGGCGATGATTTTCGGTTTTTTCTTTCTTTCTTGCATGTGTTGTAAGTTGCCAGGTCACTTTTGGATGTATTTCTTGTGCTACAGATCCCGGCGGAGGAGTTGTTGCGCCGTCATTTGCTTACAAGTACAAGGAATGGCTTGACCATGTTGACAGCCCCAGCTCAAGCAGACAGAGTGAACGGCATGATACTTTTGAAAGGTGCGGCACTGAGTAGGTCTACAATAAAATCACACTTAGGCTTAGGCCTATAGACGTCTTGAGAGTAATTGCAGAATAACCCGCCACTCTAAAAAACGACCCCTGGAATGACTGGTTATATGTTGGGTACAAGGTAAAAGTCCCTTGAGAAGAGTGTGACACTTTGACCTGTACCTCGCAATGCATGAGGTTGATCGTGCGGGGTGGTGGGGTAGCGGGGTATTCTGCAATTGAGCTCAAAAGGGTTACTTGAGCGAACACGTGTACATCCCACTTCCCAGAGGAAGAAAGCTTCCCAGACTGCCAGAGGAAGACAGGAGAGTTGAGAAATACCCTTTAACCATGCTTTAACCAGTGCAGTGGTGTAGCTAGGATTTTACTGGTGGGGGGGACAAAGGGGCATCAGCAATTTATGGGGGGCACCAGCTTTCAGTGGTGTGGTTTTTTGGGCAAGTTTTTGTTAGCCTTGTTCAATATCCATTCATCCATTTTTTTTCATGGGGGGCACCATGAATTCGTAGGGGGGCATCTGCTCCCCCCACCCCCCGTGGCTACGCCACTGCCTCTAACATGACATCACAAGCCATAAGGTCTGTTGTTTTACACCTTGTAGTGGTAGGCCTACTTTCGTAGCCTACTGTCGTTTTCCTCTGAGGAACTAATCAATGCAGCATTGAGGTTTTCTCCCTGGAAATGGAATGACACCATGGTCTTGCTTATGAATATGATAATGGGCATTTGCCCAGAAACCAAAAAGGGCCTAAAAAATATGTTCAAAATAGCGAAACTTAAATTAAAAATGCGGTTCACTGAAATACTCAGTCAAGGTACATTTTAGCATTTTTACTGGAATGCAGTAAAAAAAAAACCCATGGCATATACCCCTAGAGATTTGTTTATTATTTTCAGCTATGAATTGTGGGACAGAGATCCTATGTATTACTATGGTGGAAAGAGACCTCAATCCAGACTGAACAAATCTCGGAGTAGAAGCAGCAGCCGGCAACAGCATCCCAGTGGAAAAGCTGTCGGACACCCGAGAGGTGTTTTCACACCCAGCCCTAGTTTTGGCAGGCAGGAAGAGGATCCCCGAAGTGGGACCGAGCGAGACCAGGCAGATCTGCCCACCAAAGAAGGAGGGATTTTGGAAGCCGTCAAGGAGTTTGCCCTGAATGTCACGACGGCGCACGCCATCCCTAACGTATTCAAGGCCTCGACTGTGCTCGGGCGATTCTTATGGTCTGTCATATTCACTGTAGCCCTTGGAGTTTTCATCTGGCAGGCAAGCGTACTGGTGCGAAGATATGCGCTGTTTCCTGTCAACGTTGAGGTGAATGTAAAAACCAATTAGTTAAAAGTAGGGAACATTTTTGTCTTCAATTTTTGCTTGTAATCACTGAAAATTTACCCATAAGCCTTTTTCACATTTCATGTGCGCATGCTCAGAAGATTTAATAGAGGGGAACAAATTCATGACAAGAACGTTGCGTTTCTTTTCGCGTTTTGCTGCTCGTGATTGTTATTGTTGCTTGAAATTGGGGATTGAAGAATGCTTCGGAAAGTGAAACGATGTTCCTTCGTAATTCTTTTTGGGGGGGCATGCTTTTTATGATCCACAGATTGAGATAGTCACCCGATCAGAACTGGAGTTCCCGGCGGTGACCATTTGCAACACCAACAAGGTTCGGCGTTCGGCCATCATGGAGTCACGGTACAAAGAGGCGTTAGTCGTCGACGACGGGGTGACACTGCCCTATTATGGTAGGTCAAAAGTCACATTGTATTTGTTTTTTGTTTTTGTTTTATTTGTCATTTGTTACTGTGTAGTTTTGAGGGAAGCTGAACTTTTCCTGTCATACCCTCATAATGGAAGAGAATTGAATCCCAAATAGGGCTGAGTAGATTTATTTGAATTATCAGATATGCAACTATTTATGAGATAAGTTAAAAATTCGTTTTCAGAATCAATTATTCAGAGGTTATAATCAATTAAAGAAAAAGGGAAAATTCAATTGCTCAGTTGCGCAAGAGACGTTTTGCAACAATACACTGTTTTCAGTGGATAATAAGGGTACAAAGGAACCAGTCCATTCCAGAGATGGTGATCACTATGCAAAAGCTTGCCCCGAATCACGAGGTACAGCAACAGGGTCTTTAGTTTGGGGAATTTAAATAGTAATGTTTTGTGCAGTCAAATAACTCAGTGCACCAGATTTTATTCAAATTTAACTTACAAATGGCTTATTGACCCAACCTAAGTGAGTCAGATGTCACCAAAGCCAATCCTGAGCTCGAAGAATGCTGCACAGTGGACATCAATAGCAACCCTTATTTGCATTTTTTTTTACCATATCTGGTTTCTCCCCAAATGTGAGAAACCAAAGTAAAGTGGTGACTTTGCTCCTTCTAATGCATACTGAAACCAAATGGCAGGAACAGATGGTTTGAAGGCTCATTTTGAGGGACCTGGTCATGTTTGCTGTAAACTCCAACCTCTGTTTCTTTCATTTGTTTTCCTCATTCTCTTGAAGTTGTCTCCGTCTTGGCTGCATTTTTGGTTCACTCTTGGAGGGTTGTTTCTCGCAGGGCCCTGTATCGAAGGGGACTTCAGTTGCGCGTCCTATGGCCTGTGCTTGAAACAATTCTTGCGATGCGACGGAATAAACCACTGTGGCGACTTCAGCGACGAAATTGACTGCACGTATGGTAAGATCATGGAGGAAGGAGGGGAGTGGTAAGATTGTCGTCATCGTCAAGGGGTGGCTGGTATTTTTGAGGGAAGGCATATCCCCTGATTTGAGGGGAGGGGGAGGGTTGAAGGCATACCCCACCCACTCCCCTCCCTGAAAATAGAGTCCCATGACTTGTCTCTTCTTCATGCATTCTAAGGCACTTTAAATCAAAGTTTTTCTCATTTTATTAGTCTCATAACATCTGTCAGCCTTCAAATTGGGTTGGGGGTGGCTTCGAGACCCATCCCCCCCCCTTCTGTTACTGTTGTTCAAGCCTGCAATGGCTGTTTGAAAATTTCTTTTGTGTGAAACATTGGTTTTGCTCAAGTACACGTCTTTCGGATGCTTGTTTTTGCAGAGGGTATTTTGACCTTCAGAAACAATCCTGAAAGATCAAAGTCGTTACAGCACAGAGACCCTCCTATCTGGCTTTGTATTGGAGATTGGAAATGTACCTTTTTTGTGTCTTTGTAAAAAAGCGGAATGTTCTTCCAACGAGTTTTCCTGCTCCAACGGCAGCAGCGTGGGACCCTGCATCAGTTCGTCGCTGATTTGCGACCGCAAGAGAGACTGCTACGATGGAGATGACGAGACAGGCTGCCGTAAGTGGTGAAAGAGCGAAACAAAAACAATTGAGAAAAAGAGGGAGGGTAGAATAGAGCTTTTTAGTCTTTTTAGCAGCAGGAATCGTCGCTGCATGCTAAAATCATCTGAACCTGTTTCTCCAGTTTTGTGCAGTTTGTATTGTTGCCAGTGGACTCTCTAATGTTCAAAATTTTAACTTTAACCTATAAATGCAAGCATGGATCAAGATGAAGTTGCCTTCAGGAGTTGCCCACTTAGGAAACTTTGTTCATCTTCTCAACATCTACTGACTCGTCCAATTTTACCAAGACGGCCAGTGGGCATTTAAACATGCATCTCCGGAGTTGCGGAACTGTTTTCTAAACAGTATTTAATCATGCCCTACAGTTGGACAGTTCAAAATAAAACTGAAGACTTACGTGCTCTCATCCATCAGCGCACAGAGACATTTTGTAATAAGGCGCTGTGTAAGAACTAATTAGAACTATTTGCCGCTAGCAATGAAAAACTACTGGTCTCCATTTTTTTATGCAGTTTTTATTTCGAGAAAATTCCAGTCGAGAGTTGTTTAAATTTACAAAGTCCAATGAGCATAGGCATTATGCCCATATGGTCCTATTTGGAGGGCCACTGAGCCCTTGTCCAGATAACCTGGCTGGGGCTTAAACATAACACACAAGTCTATAGTAGTAGCCCCAGCCAATTCCCTTTGAGGTGTGTGTCATGTCAGGGCAACAACATTTCCAATGGCATGCGAGCCAATAATCACCTTTATATTTGGCAAGGTAAGATGGCCGCCAGTGGCTTCAGTTGGTGCAAGAGCAATATGAGTTCAGACTCTTTTACATGGCGTCCGTGATAAATACCTCCCTGAGGCCTGTAAAATCTGCTGAAACATTCATGGTGGACTTTCAAGGATTGTGCAGAATTTGAAACTTTTGATGATTCTGTGATAAGGCCGAAAAAGCAAAATATTTCTGCTACCTGCTACATGGCAATTAAAAACAGGGTACCAGTAGGCAGGCAGGAAATGATATTTCTTGCATTGCTTCAGTGTGCAGCCAAGTGTTAAATGGTTAGAACAAAAGAAAGAGAGGTCGGATTGCACTTTTTTCAAATGAAATGAACAACTGTTTAAAGGGCACTAGTTGTCTTCCTTTCAATTTTGCATTTTCCCAAAATTCTTCCCTTCCCCCCCAAAAAAAACATTTTTAGTGTCTTGCTATCAAAACAAGGACCGGCCAGCCGACCTTGGCGAGCTCAGTGATGGAGTGGTTAAGATGTCTGCACTAGTAAGCCTAGGCCGTGGGTTTGAGTCCCACCCAAGTAAGCGTGTGAATTTCCTCACAAGCCCTTGGACAAACACTGAGTATACAGTGTTGCGAGCGTACATGTACGTCGTTGTGAGGGCAAAAACCCTATTATTAATGGGTCGTGAGACGGGAAGCAAGACTACATTGTTTGGCTTCAGCAGTGTTGGTCATGTAGCATTTCCTTTTTTGTTTCTGGCAGCTTGTAAGAGTAACGAGTTCCAGTGTATTAGAGGAGGGTGCGTCCGCAAGATTTTGGTCTGTGATAACAACACGGACTGCGTGGACAACAGCGATGAAGAAAACTGCGGTAGGTGTTGGAGAAGTTAATGACCCACCCTCTCTGCCAGCAGTCGATCTGACTGTCAATAAACGAGGCTTTTACTGCAAAATACCACGGTACAAAGCGCACTGGTATTGCATTTTAATGGCTGCCCAAATTATGTAATGGCTTCACAGCAGTATGAAAACATGAGGGTGACTTGATGTGTGTGTACGATGTGATGTTTGGAAAGGTCAGAAGGTCTGGATCACTGGGCCCTAAAACACGAGTGCACAGTGCTCATCACTGTTTGCATAGAGTTTCTCACCAGCGGGTTTAACAACCCTTATGACAGGAAATCTGAGTCTAACTGAAAGTGTTTTTCTGCTTCTTTACAAGCATTCAGATGGACACAAAGCATTTTCCAGATTGGTTTCTGTATCCTTTAATTGATGCATTGGTTGGATTCCAACTTCCATCTGTACAAAAATTGCAGAAGCAAACATTACCAGAAGCACTTTTTCATCCAAAAGTTTGTTTCAGAGTTGAATCTTAGGCCCAGCCAGCAGGGGTAATAATGCAGCACTTCATTGACAGTGTTTTGTGGATGTGCGCAAAATGTAGTTAACGTAGAACAAACGATAATTTTGGGCTCGACCTTTTCAGTTTATGACAGCGAGTGCACAGGGCTCTTCCGCTGCAGTGTGGACTCTTCTTGCATTCCCTTGGGTTATGTCTGCGACAGATCAAATGACTGTTCCGACGGCGAAGACGAAACTGTGGAAGCATGTGCTTCTGTCACCACACCACCTCGTAAGCTCCAATGTTAAATTTGAAACGACCTGAGATGATTGCTTGTAAATGATCGATTGTCAATGATCGCATGTATATGTTACCTGACGTGAATCAATTTCACAGAGCAGCTGCTCGGCAGTGTTTCGTGGTTAGCGAAAATCCCCCGAATGGGAAATCAGTCACAGGAAACACATTTATGGGAATACTTGTAGGAATTCATCAAGTTTTCAAGCAGTGTAGGAAGATATTGATAACTGAATAATTTGTGATAAAAGTTGTAGGAAACTTAATGTAAATATCCCAGGCACACTAAGTCCACAAAATGGTCTATAAACTTCACGACTGTAAAACCCACTGTGACTGAGATTTTGAGACTTCCAGTGATGAGACTATCCCACAAGTGCATTAGAGCCTCCAAAGGTGGTGCTCAGTGGCATCCTACCTGCGATCTCAAGGAGCTATCCAGTCAGTCTATAGAAACCCGATCGTTCATCACAGCACTGAGCTTCTGTACCTGTGTTGTGTTTCCCTGGTTCTCTAGCCGCAACCTCGCCCTGTCCCCAGAACCAGTTCTACTGTAGTGATGGCAGTTGTATAGAAGAGGCATGGGTGTGTGATGACCAAGTGGACTGTGCTGACGGCGCCGATGAAATACCACCGAATTGTGAACGAGGTCAGTACTGTGGTCGTTTGTCTTGTTTCTTTATGTGTCTGACTCTCTTTCTCAAAGTACCACAAAGAAAAGATTCAAACCTTGCATCAACATCTAGTTAATGTCTGAAAACCTGTGTGATGGCTCAACATTTCATTGCTTAATCTAGTTTAAACTTTTGCTTTTTCATATTAAGTCAGTGGATTGTCTGCAGACTGAGATAAACACATTTGCTCTTTATGAGAGCACACATTTTCAGAAATATCGGAGCCACAATACATCCTTTTCAGTGTATTTTTTTGGGGTTTGTTGGGTGTCATGCAGGCAGTGAGATATACGGTTTGGCACGTTGCAGCGTGGTAGAGTGGTCATGTGGCAACCAGTGGCAGTGCATCGATCAGGTCGACCGTTGCAACCTGTCCCCAGACTGCTACAGCGAAGCGCAAGTTGCAGACGACGAGTACAACTGCAGTAAGTCGATAGCCCTGCAATCTTCTGTTGCAGTTTGGTTGAAGAGTCTCATGCTTTGTCTAGTGATGGTCTTTGGGGGTGTTTTGATTGTCTTTTAAAGTCAGGGTACTAGACCAGTATTTAACGACAGTTTCATGAACAACAATTTGTCGTTGCAGCCTGCTTATTGCAAAGTGCGGTACCATCTTCATCCCAGAAGGTGACCTGCGTAGGAATGACGGTTAGCGATGCCAGCGTCGGCTTTCCAACGGTGGATACAACAAGTAAGAAAACAAAAGTCAACCTCTCACAATAATAATGTGGATCTTTCTCGAAAACACAATCCCTCCTGTGCCAGGAACTTTGATCTTTAGAGATAGTTATCTTTTTAGCGTAACTCTGAATCCTCAAAATAGTGCTTCAGTTGGCAACGTATAGCCGTTTCTCACTGTTATAACAAAATGCTGTAATAATAAACAGATTTTGGGACTCCCTATTTCTTGAATTCATATGTTTTTCTTTGTTTTTCCACTCCTTTTACAACAACGTCCTGATTTGCCTTGCAAAGTTGTTGTAATAAGGGTCCACTGTATTAGAATTCAGGCTATAGTTATCTAGCTTACGCAAAATCTTTGAAGTTAAGTTCGTGACTCGTTAAACTAGTCGAAGCTTTGGAATTTCTTTTCAACTGCCCAGAATTTCAAGGTATGAGTTGTTACAGCCGCCTCCTGGGGAATGTCCAGCCCAACCCCGTCCACGGCTGGAGGGAATACGTCTGCCGTGGTCAAGTTGTTTGTGCAAATGCGGCTAATGATTTTCCAGAGCCATGTGAAGGTAAAACGCTCAGAAAGAGGTATAATGCTTTTAATAGGAATGTTAAAGTTCTTAGCTGTTTTAATTTGCAATTTCAGGATAGAGGATCTTCTAGTTGTACCTATTTGCAGTGTTCCACTTTTTTTTCTTGTAAAAGTCCCAAATTTGGTGTTCTATACATAACCAGGTTTTCATCCTTGGGCTCTCCTGCCAAAATTCCTGATTTCTTATGACTACTGAAATGCGGCCCTGAATGTTGTTAATTTTGTCAGTCCCCACAAATTGTTTTTAAATACTGTTGTCATACCTCTGTCTTGAATACTGTTTTTTCAGTGGCTCAGAACAACCACATGACAGGGTGACGTCACTCTCACCATTAGACCACTACATCAGCCAGTGTTGTATGATATCGCACACATACCATGTAATAAGCCATTTGTGAGTTAACTTTGTCCCAAATCGGGTACACTGAGTTTTTGAAATTCACGGGAACATAACTTGAATTCTCCTTACTAAAATCATTGTTGCTATACCTTGTGATTCGGGGTAAGCTTTTGCTTAGTTACATAAGAGACGCCTTGCAATAATACACTCTTCTTATTGGATAAGAAGGGCACAAAGGAACCAGTCCATTCCAGAGATGGCGGTCGTTATGCGAAAGCTTGCCCCGAATCACGAGGTATAGCAACAGTGTCTTTAGTCTGGGGAACTCAAATCGTTATGTTTATGTGCAATCAGATAACTCAGTGCACCAGATTTTATTCAAATTTAACTCGCAAATGGCTTAGGCCGTTTTCCAATACTCAACTTCGTCTCCATTTCAGGCTTCGTCCCCGAAACCAATCCCCAATTGTGGGCCTGAAGCGTTTAAATCAAATTAGATTACAGTAAGTTTTTGCTCTCTTGCATCTTATTTGATGTTTTGTGGCACTATTAGACTAATTAGTCTAAGCTTCAAAGTCAGGTAGTAAAAAACAGTTGAAGCCTGAGACAGAGCTGAAGTTGAGTATTGGAAAATGGCCTTATTAACCCCTTAATGAACAAGAGGATTCCTTTGTCTCCCCTAATTTCCTCAGAAAAATAAGTACAAAACTTCCAGACAGAGGTATAACAAAATAATTATTCCATCCGTTGCCAGTTTTTCACGAGTGCTACATTGCAATGAATGCTCAAGACTACCGGGGACGGATAGGCCGCACCAGCAGCTCAGTTGAGTGCCAGGACTGGAGCAGCAATGTTTCCGTTAGCGTGGGCTTCTCTCGTGACGTCTACCCCGAGTTGTTAGGGCCGGTCTGCCGTAATCCTGGCGGCAGTCGCAGTCGTGCCTGGTGTTTTACGGCAGGGGCAGACACCACAGATGACTGGGAGTTCTGTGATATCGGACCACCATCATCAACCTGTCACCCTGGTAAAATCTGTTCATATTCATGGAAACATCACAGATGTTCGTTTGCTCCAAAAGGGCGAATCTTTTGAAACGATCTTACGGTATTTTAAACCCTGTACTCCCTACTGAGTGCTCAATTTGGTGCTGCAGCTCAAATTTGCCGAGTGTGCACATTTTTCGCTTACTTGAAACCCAGACCAATACAACATCTTTTGGTCATGTCAAAGGAAGGTCTATACTTCTGGCATATTCGAAAGCAGAGCAAATTTTACATTATAAAGAGTTTGCAGCAAAATTTGCTCGAGCTGAAAAGTGTCCTTTTACAAATTTGCCTAGTGATATTTCATTTGACGTCACAAAATGCATATGTGATCTGTATGAATCTGTCTTAACTGAACTTCACCGAATAGCAAAATTATGCTCAGCAAAAGTTATTGCTTCACTGATTGGATGGGTTTAGGGGTAATGATTGGTAAAAAAAAAATTGACACGTTTAGTGTAGTCCTCTGACGTATACAGTTGGGCCCATATGTGTTGTTTTGAATGGTCAACTGTGAAGTTGTAAATCAACAACACAAATGTCTTTTTCAAATGAATCGGTTAAAAACACTCTCTGAAAAGCCTCTGGTTAACTTGTCATGTTGCCACGAGCAACAAGTCCTACTGTCGAAAAACAAGACAGCTTTTTTGCCTTGTCTGAACCAAAAATCCCGTCCACGTTTTGGGTGTTCTGTTGAGAACAATTTAGAATTTTGAGACATTTGAAGCGATGGAAAGGAAGCATTTTTCAGATTGTTTCAATGATTTTTTTTAGGTGTGGAGCTTCCGGTCCGCCTCGCCGGCTTAGCCTCGCCCTCGGAGGGGAGGGTGGAGGTACAGCACAAGGGGGAGTGGGGTACAGTCTCGGACACTGACTGGACGCAGGAGGATGCTGATGTGGTCTGCAGGCAGCTGGGATTTACCGAGGCATCAGGACGAGGCACTTTGGCGGCCAGTACAGGCAGCGTCTTCATATCACAAGTAGGTACCAGGCTTTCTGAATTATAGAGCCAAACTGATCTTTTCCATTCCAAGATCCTTTCCATAGGTGCCCAGTTTCTTGATTTCTGGTAAAAAAAAATGGTAAGAGTGTCCATAATCAAGAATAAACCAGTAGACTGTATGAGCCCCAAACTTGACCCAAGCTGTAGTGCAGAGCGGGTTCATTCTTTTTCATTGATTGAAAGACGTTGAAAAATAAATATCATCGCACGCTTTAAAGGCTTAAAAACGTGTGCATGATGTGTCAAGATGTGAGTTTTTCAAACTGAGCAGTTGGTTCCATACCTTGAAAAAGGGAGAGAATTTCACTTGTAAAACCCCAGCTTGGAAAGCACTCTTCTGAAGAAATACACAAAAGAGATTTTACTGTTCCGCTCCACCTGAATGGTTCCTTTTTCAGTACCTGTTACTGCGGGACTTAGGGGATCAGTGGCACATCCTGATTAACATGTTGACTGCAGCGCATAATTTCAAAGGGGGGTTCCCATTTGCCAGGTGTCGTACGCATGTATGCATGTTGAACAGGTATCTTTCAGGTGTCTGTTTGAGCATGAGCAGTTTACAGATGAACCCTCCCCACACTGCCAGCAGCGTATTTGTTATTTTTAATCTTAGATGATGACAGTGTATCCAATTTACATAACAATAGCCTTTTGTTTCATATGAGTATACCCGTAATGGCGGAATCCGGTGCACCTGTGACTATGAGTATATACTCGTAGTCGGCAGGCAGTGTGCTAAACCTGGGCCCAATTTCACGGCGCTGCTTACTGCAAGTGAAAAATCAGCACTTACTCTAGCAGAAATTTCGTGCCATGGCAAACGTATTTCATGGGTTAGCGAGGAATCTGGGCTTGCGTACGTCCAGTATTATTCTGTGTTTAAAGGGTTAGCGCAGAATTTTCTGCTAGCACGGTTAGTGCAGAATGGAGATCGTAAATGTGGAGTTCTGTGGTAAGCAGCGCCATGAAATTGGGCCCTGGTTTTGGGTCAATAGGGGAGGGAGAGAATGGGATTTTATTTCTAATAATTTTGACCTTTGAAGGAATTCTCAAACACTTTGCCAGAATGGCAGTGTCAACGTAGTTCCATTTTGGAGATGTTACCTCTTCCAATTCCTTTGAAAATCAAAATCGGAATCAACATGTCTCAAGGGAGAAGCTGCTTGTCTGTCTTTTCCACCCCTTTTTCTTGTGGAAAATTATTCAAACCCTTAAAATAGCCCTACTGTTATTTTTTATCTTTTTTTTCTCTCTCTCTGAAGGTCAAGTGCACTGGGTATGAGTCCTACCTTGTGGATTGTCAGTACCATGTCGTCATGCCATCGGAGGGCCTCAGCCACGACACGGATGTCAGCGTCACTTGCTCTGGTAAAACCTGTTTGCCCCCTTGATTGCTTGGAATGTGTTTTTCCATCGAGTGGAAGAATCCTAGAAATGGAGAATAGAAAAAAGGTTGCAAACTGCTTCCGACCACACTAACCTCACAGTATACAGAGTGAAAAAATGAGAGGATCTGACGTGTTGATCCCAGCTCAACTGATCTTTCTCCGTCTTTCTCTTTTTATTTGAGAAAGATTCTGCTAGGATCAATGCCTCAGGCCCCCTGACTTTTTCGAGCATTATGAAGAATGTACATACAAATGTACATAAATTCTTCGCTCCTTTCAGAGGTTTGTACGTTGAGTTGCTCCCGTCAACATCAGGGAAATATGTCACGAAATGTATTCACTTGGTTAAATATTACATTAAACTAAATCTTAAATCTTTAGATAAGGTCTTTGTGTGTGAAATATAAAAAACCTCTTTCTAAAATTTCAAGGTTTTGAGATATGAATGTTAGAGGCATTTGTATTAAGTTACGAGTTTCTCCTTTTGACATTTCTGAAAGCAGATTGCATATTCAGACATTTTTTTAACTGTTCATCACGAACATGTATGTGCCAAGTTTCCTTTTGATACTAGTTCATTAAGGGCACCTTTCACCGAAAAAAAACTTTTTGTGTACGAAGAAGTAACATTGAAAACAAATGAGTGGGTTTTGAGGAAATATTTTTAAGACTAACAGTTGTCCAGAAGCTGCAGTTTTGTTGCAAGTATTGTAATGTGCATGAACGTTGCACTGTTCTGTCAGGCAGTCACTTGACCTGAACAAAAGTACTTGAAATTTTTTAAGGGGCGAGGCAGAAGAGACAAGCAGATGAGAAAGATGTCATTCCAACGTCTGTAGCAGGTAACCCTTTTTCAATAAGCTGGAATATAATCAGTTCCGAGGCTAAATAAAAACAAGACAGTGTTTTGGTTTTATTTTCCCCCAAAAGTGGAAAAGTGGAAAACAGGCTGAAACAATACATTAGGACAAATGTGCTCATAGATCAAGATGGTATTTTTTCACCATTTTGCTTTTGTCCAGCATCGCTGTTTACTCTTAACTTTGTGTTAAAAGGATTTACAAGGCTAAGAATGTCCCTACTTTACATTTAACTTTGCCTGCAACTTTGCCTCAAATCAACTGAGAACCTCGTGTTTTACTTGGAAATTTTTACAAATCAGTAAACCAATCATTTGAAAGACTTGAACCAGAGTAAAGTTTGTCCTCAGTCAGAACATGGAAAGAAAAAGGTAACCACAAGACAGTTTGCAAGTCGAATGTAAATTGTCCAGCTTGTCCTTGCAATCTAAAATAGGATCTGTCAAGCTCTCTCAAATCCTTTCACGCCTGCTTCGTTGCTTGGATATCAACTGAGGACGCTTGATGTGTTTCCCTGCATGTGTGGTTTATTTGCCAGGGAACTGCTCAAAGACTGAGTACCCTTGCAGTAGCGGGGAATGTATCCCTCTTTGGCAAACGTGTAACAACTTCCCAGACTGTGAAGACGGCAGCGATGAATATTCCTTCTTGGGATGCGAGGACCCCGTGAACAGTAAGTCACTCTGTTCAGTATGAAACTGTAGAGGTGGAAGTAGCACTGTTTTTGAGTTTATCTGAAGTCCCCTTAGGTAGTCAGGAGTCCACACAAATCTTTGTGGATCCCTTGGAGTCAATCATATAAGTCCTCATAAGTTCATCACAAGTCCTCTTAAGGTCATCACAAGTCCTCTCAAGTTCCTCACAAAATCTTGTGAGTTCGTCACAAGTCCTCACTGACAATTTCAGAGCAAATCCTGATAATTTCACGGGATGTCCTCACAAATTCATCACAAGTTCTTTCCAGTCTATCACAAGTCCTCACAAAGTCCTCTGGTCTCAACTCACTAGCCATTCAGCTGAACTGGGACCAAGTTATTCACACTGTTGTCCAGTGTCTGTTTATCTTTGCAGTCAGAAATGTGAATCAAATGACAGACAATCTTTCCTACATCTACGGCAATCTAATTGCTGAACATATGTAAAGTTATATCTAATCTGCTTATGTTACAAGTGACTCTTGTCTTTTTCAGAATGTCACTCCATGAATAAAGTTGAAATGGTACCCTCGTGCCTCTTGTTTTTTTATCGAGGAGGGGGACTGCTCAGCACGGCATCCATTTTGTAATAGTCATCACGGAATAGAGACCAAGGCTAAAACCAAGGTTCTGTATCTCTCATTCAGAGTGTTCTGTGTTTACTAAAGCCTGCCGTGAAAGCAGCAAATGTATCCCTCGCACGTTTGAATGCGATAACTATGCTGACTGCACTGACGGCAGTGACGAAGAGTACTGTAATGATCCCAACGGTGAGTACCCACCGCGAGTTGGAATGTACCCGTATTGGCAAAGAATGGACACGGCTGGCGGGATATATGGTTTTTTTTCAACCGGGCTCAGACACGCGCCCATTGCACACCAATCCACTTTCAAACAGAAAGTGGTTGCATGCAGCGATCTCTGTATATCTCCTATTTACATAGTCTGCATAAATGGAGACCGATGAAAGAAAGAAAAAAGGGGAGGACGGAAGCTCACAAAATTGAAACTGATGGACTTCTGCTTTTGGTTTACATTTATGTTGGTTGTTGTGTAACGGGGGCGGAGCGGGCCAAAGGGGGTGAACAACAAAACAACCAAATAAAACACTCAACTAGACACGGCAGACTTGGGGGGGTGCCTCCCAATCTTAATTTTGCCCCAAAACAACGTAAACAATAATTCACAGAAGTAGACACCAAGTCAAAGAAATACAAGTAAGCAGGACAGGGTGGCTAAATGAGACACTGCACAAGACATAGGTAGAATCAGTCCCCCCTGGTGGGATTCGAACCTATATTTGTGAGAAATGCTTCTGACAAACTACTAATTGGACTTGTAGGTTTATGACAGATAAGCATTTTTTTTGTTTAACCTGCATGTTTTTCCAGAGTCCTGCCCTCCGGGTTATTTTCAGTGCTCCAACGGCAAGTGCATTCACACCTTCCGTGTTTGCGATACCGTCCTGGACTGTAATCAGGGAGAGGACGAAGGAGGAGACTGTTACTACGCGTCCTCTGGTGTGTACTTGTGAGGCTGCTCAAATCTTTTTTTCATCTTCGTTTCATGATGAACGTGTCCTGTGTGAAATCAAAATGCAAATTATTTCTGAGGGTTCTTTGTATACACTGACACTGTTTTCAAAAGTATAGGTACTTCGAGTGCCTCCAGACAGGTGTCAACACTGTAGAGGCTGTTGAACAAGATAAGTCTTGTACCCAATGTGTCATTTCTGGTATTGCAAAGAATCTTCCGTAGCATACAGGTATAATGCCATTTTTTGTGCACATTCAAGTGGAAAATGTAACATGCAGCAGCAGCAGGGTATCTATCGAGACATTCTTGTTCTTTGTAGGCCAAAGCTGCACCGGTCGGTTTTAGAATCGGAAAATAATTACCAGCCAAAATGAGTGCTAATTAGTTCCTTGCCTTCGTAGCAGCATTTCCTGAGCATTTTTAATTATTTAAATCAAGAATATCTTGTATTTGAAACAAGAAAGCAGGAATACACAAACCTGTGGTGCCAGACATTTTATGAATATTTTTTCAGCAGCGTGACGTTTAGCTCGGAAGCAACAAATCGGGATGTACTGAATTGTTCAGCATTTTACAACTATCCATTATTATGTCCCTCTGTCCACCAGATAATGGAAGGTTGAATCCCTTTGAGATGGAAGACTGGAAAGATCCCTTTCTACCCTTCATCCCAGAAAACTATCAAGAGGAATTCCTCTCCAGCTTCAGGGAGTACTTCTACACCCCTCGCCCCTTCAGCAGAGTGCGGAGCGAGGACCCACCAGACTGGAGCCGATTCGTGACCTTCAGTGAGCAGCCAGACTACAGTGATCTGAGCGAGGTGTTGAAACTGACAGAGGGAGAGATTGCCCAGCACGGCCACCAGTTTGAGGATTTGGTCCTGCAGTGCTCCTTTGACAGCACCCCCTGCCACAGGGGGTACGTCAATGGAGGGTTTGCATGGCTGCCATCTTGAAGGCCAGCACTTGTGTTCCACAGGGTGTGCACAGAGGTTTCACTAAGCAACAAAAACTGCCCTGCAAGATGGCTACCACGCAAAGCCTCTTCTGAAATCTTTTCAGTGCCTTTGCATGCACTTTGGAGATGCCATTGTGTGGCATTCATAGCAGACCCTGTATGTGTGTACTCAAGTAGTTTTTGCAACAGAAGTTGTGCATGCAAAAGAACAGGATTTTCATGTCCTTGATTGTTGGTCTGTTATTACCACCAAGGACAAATACATGGCTTAGGGAACATGCAATCTGTTTTCGTCTGAATGTACATGCACTGCATTCTCTCACTGGCACCAGATACACAGTTCTCTGTCTATTGTTGGTGGTTTGCTACTGTTAAAGAGATACTGTGCCGGGGGTCCATATGTAACCTCCTTCCCAGAACAGTCACAAATTGATCACTTTAGTCCCATTCACCCGTTGCCTTGTCTCACTGTTCTCTTCTTCAGCCACACGATTTTTCATCAGATCCAGAACGAAAAGTATGGCAACTGCTACATCTTCAATTACAAGGGAAGCCCAGAAAGTACTGTGCGGAACTCTTCAAGGACTGGTGAACAGTCAGGTACATCACATTTACAAGTGCGTATTAGATTGAGCACAGAAATGTGACCCAGCTTGGCAAAGTGAGTCACAAGGTGCCAAAGCCTCTGTTGAGCGAAAAAACCTCTGAGAGAATCCAGTGTTGTATTTGAGTCATCACAATTCCTTTCAATTTTCTGTTTTATGAACACGAGTAAAGGAAGAAAGTTTATTCTACATCTTCTGTGTAGTATCACTGGATAAGTACTTACAGAGTTTCATGGTGAGTAATTGGTTGTACAAAGTGGATGTCATTTTTGAAGCTAACTCGAGCAACCTCCAACCTCTGTGCACTTACAGGGCTCGCACTCACTCTATTCATCGAGCAGGATGAGTACTTGAGTCTTTACGGTCGGGAGGCCGGAGTCCGCGTCACTATCACCCAGCCCAACGTCGCCCCCTTGCCAGAGGATGAAGGCATCAACTTGTCACCAGGAGCTGTCACCTCCATCGGGCTCGTACATGTAAGACCAATTTGGATGACTCGCAACTTTGTGAAAACTCAGTCTAGAAAAGCAAATCAAACTTGCACATAGCTAGCAAGATCGCTCTGTTTTTCCTGTATGTGACTTATTTGGTCATCCTGGCCGTTCATATAACGGTACACGTGAGCTTTGAAGTTTTTCCTAGTGAAAGTGCTGCGCGAACGTTATGGGCTAGCAGTAGCACCATGCAAATATCTCTTTTGTCAGTATGCATGGTTCTGATAAAAACTGGAGGGTATACTCAACGTTTTGAACAGTGTGCTTTGTTGCTCTGTCCATCGTCAGGAAACTGCGCTCCCCTCCTTCGGACTGACACACCACATTGATCGTCTAGCATCCCCTGTTCTGCTTGAGTACCCTTGCACTGAATCTTGAGGGGGATCCTGAGTTGGGGCCGGCGACCATTTAGACCCGGTTTGAAAAGCCCCCCCCCCCGATAAGCTCGCCCTGTTGCAAAAACCCCTTTCATACCGGCCTGGCTACCGGCC